GGTACCAACATAATTAGGGGCCAAAAAGGGGCCGAAAATAAGCATTTTTGTAACTTCCAGACATAACTTGTGTGTTATTGTATGGATCTCTTTGACATTGTACTACAAGATTCCATATCACAAAGGGTCGATGATGGGATTGATTTTGGGGTTAATTTCCTCAAAATTTTAGGAATAAGGGGCCAAAAGGGGGCAAAAAACAAGCATTTTTCTAGTTTCATGACAATAACTTGTGTGTAAGTGTATGGATCTTTCTGAAATTTTACTACAAGGTTCCATTTCGCAAAGGGAAAGCTGGAATTGAGTTTTGTGGTAATTGCCCAAAACGTTTAGTAATAAGGGGCCTAAAAAGGGGTGAAAAATAAGCATTTTTTAGTTTCTAGACAATAACTTGTGTTCAAGTGTATGGATCTCTCTAAAATTGTATTACAAGGTACCATACCACAAAGGCAAGGCTGTTATTGAGCTTGGTTTGGGGGGGAAGGGGGGTGATGAATCATAGGGGGGGTCAAAAAAGGGTAATTATTTTTTTCGTTTAAGGAATAAGGGGAAAAAAGGTTAAAAAAATTGGGTTTCCATTTTAATAGACAAATAATTGAGTAAAGAACATTATTTAAAAGCAGTGTAAGGTTGGTAATTCAAACTCATTTAAATATCTCACCTGCACTATGTTTGAATTATGTAAATTGGAAATTTGCCAATTATTTTAGTATAATAAACTTCATTGGAAATTTGCCAATATAAAATTTTGCTGATGAAGGTTTTTTGTTTACCTTTAGTCTGACTATGATGTCATTTTCTATTTTAATAGCCTTATGATGTAGTTAAAAAAAATTTAATACTTTTATGATGTATTTTAATGCGCTTTTATGGTTGCAAATTTATTGTTTTAATATAATAAACTCCATTGGAAATTTACCAATAGTTTGTTTATTTTTAGCTATGACTATGATGTCATTTTCTATTTAATTTTAAGGTTACAAATTAATTTCAGTTTTAAATATTATTGTAAAATGTTTGTCCAAAACATTTATTAATAAGTGGCCAAAAAAGGGGGCAAAAATAAGCATGTTTTTAGTTTCCAGACATTAACTTGTGTTCAAGTGTATGGATTTCTCTGAAATTGTACTTAAAGGTACCATACCACAAAGGGAAGTGGGTCAAAAAATTTTGGGGGGGGGGGGGGGATTTTTTTTCCTTTTTTTTTCTTTAAAATTTTCCATTTTAAGTTGGTTAATTCTGATCACAAAGAGAAAGTTGGAATTGAGTTTGGGGGATAATTGCTCAAATGTTTAGGAATAAGGGGCTAAAAAAGGGGTTAAAAATAAGCATTTTTTTTTAGTTTCCAACAATTAATTGTGTTTAAGTAATTGGATCTCTGTGAAATTGTACTGCAAGGTACCATACCACAAACTGAAGGCTGGGATTGAGTTTGGGGGGGCGTGATGTGTGAAAATTTTCCATTAAAGTTGGTTAATTATTTCTGATTTAGATATAAAAGCAAATAATAATGATGTGGTTTGATTTTATCAAAAACTTAAATTGAAGTTATGTATATTGTAAATTTAGGTTACATTGGAATTTAAGAATTGGCTTTGGGGTAGGGTTATGGCTCAAACCTTTAAATAATAAGGGAAAAAAAGGTGAAAAAATAAGGGTTTCCAGGTTAATAGACAAATAAGTACAAAACATTATTTAAAAGCAGTGTAAGGTTGGTAATTCAAACTCATTTAAATATCTCACTTACACTGCTTTTAAATTATGTAAATTGGAAATTTGCCAATAACTTTATTGTTAATAAATGCATTGGAAATTTGCCAACAATTTTAGTATAATAAACTTCATTGGAAATTTGCCAATATAAAATTTTGCTGATGAAGGTTTTTTGTTTACCTTTAGCCTTGACTATGAAGTCATTTTCTATTTTTATAGCCTTATGATGTAGTTGAATTATTTAATACTTTTATGATGTGTTTAAATGGGGTTTTATGGTTGCAAATTTATTGTTTTAGTTTAATAAACTCCATTTAAAATTTGGTAATAAAAAAAAATTTTGTTTATTTTTAGCTATGATTATGATGTCATTTTCTATTTTACTTTTATGGTTGCAAAGAAATTTTTATTTTTAGATATGACTGTTAAATGATGCTGATTAAGGTTTTTGCTATGTTTAGCCATGACTATGATGTCATTTTCTATTTTAATATCTGTCATGATGTATTTAAATGGGCTTTTATGGTTACAAAGGAATTTTATTTTTAGATATTACTGTAAAATGTTGCTGATTAAGGATTTTGTTTATTTTTAGCCATGACTATGATGTCATTTTCTATTTTAATACCTTTCAGTGGGAAAGCCAGTGACATTGAAGAGTTCCTTCCGGTGGTCACGCGGGAAAGGGGACATAATCGAAAAATTTCGAGGTGGCGCTGTAATCAGCTTGTAAACAAAAACGTAGCATGCGATTCAGACAATAAATTTATCAAAACGACTTATCATTCAACAGTATCTGCGGTTTAATTTTCATCAGAATAGATTTTGTTAAACGACTGCCAAAAAAAAATTAAAATAATTGGTTCGTTATTGAAATATGACAAATAAAGTTTCGACCTCCGTTGACTTCCAAAAAACCGCGGGTAATACCCCCGTCTGGAAATAACTGACACAATTGCATCCTAAAGCTTTTCATTGGTTGAGATATAAATACATGTGACCCAGATAGATAAAGGCACATGACTATACCAAGAACTTCCCGTCACTCTTTGTCTTGTTTACATAATTAACGCTTGAACAGGAGGTTAAAAATCGACATTTTTCAGGCGTTTTTGGAGTTATTTCATCGCAAAATGGAGCACAAGATCAATAAATTACCCGTTTTTAACCACGAAAATGATAAGGACAATGAAATATGATGATGTTTTCTCGAATTCAAATATATTTCCTTTTTAAAAATGGTGAAATGTTGCTTTGTTCCGTCTTTTGTTAATCTGTTCCTTGTTGCCCAGACTCTTCGTATCAATTATTGTCAATTGATATTTAATCATTATGCAGTATGTAACATATTAAGGTACTACACTGAGACTTGTTTTGTGTATGAATGGATTTCGTTATTATTTCAGTTGTCTGGTGGTGCCCCCCTTCCTACTTTCAAGAAAATGAAAACCTAAAACACATGCCAGGTGAAAAACCTAAGCTAATCTCTACACAACGTACTAAAACAACATATCTACATGCAAGCCAGGAAATCTTTGATGTTGTGTTGTATACATTAATATTAAAAAACAGAATTGAACCAGCCATTGAAGGATCCCAACAAATTTGGATCCACTATATTAAATGGGTCTTATTGTTCTTATTCAGAACTTGAACATTTTTAGCCATATGTTCACAACTCATGAGATTGAGTTATCTGTATTCATTTTCCCCGAGATCAACAAATATACATTTGTAGACTGGCACTGCGACTTGAAGAACCAGTTTGAGTCAATCCCTTTTCACTTGATTTTTTAGGGTCTGTTCTTGTTAAACAAATCTGTACCAGACTAGTGGGAAGGTTACACTCCCACATTTGTTTATATGTGCCTATCCTTATTCAGAACTTGAACATTTTTAGCCATATGTTCACAACTCATGAGATTGAGTTATCTGTATTCATTTTCCCCGAGATCAACAAATATACATTTGTAGACTGGCACTGCGACTTGAAGAACCAGTTTGAGTCAATCCCTTTTCACTTGATTTTTTAGGGTCTGTTCTTGTTAAACAAATCTGTACCAGACTAGTGGGAAGGTTACACTCCCACATTTGTTTATATGTGCCTATCCTTATCAAGGAATCTGTTAGACCCTAAACCATTCATTTTTAGGGGTGTTTGGGACTGTAACTATTGAAACAAAAATTGTTTTAATCAATCAGCAGGAATACTCAAAGCCAAGAACACACAAGTCTCAATTCATGTAAAAGCTGTATATGACTAATAGGGAAATAAAACAAAGGCCAAATTGCTCCAAGATCAAACTTGAAGATGCCTTGTATATGTCTCACTGATTTTGGTGATCCTGTTTTATATTATTGAAATTGGTGTTAAACCCATATCTCTTATTTCACACTATTCTTTCTACATGTCTCTTATGGTGGACATTTTAGGTACTGTAAATTCAGAAATGATTGTGAAGTTTTTATTTATGCAATAATGTGACTGGGTGAATATCCCATCAAAAAGAACTTATATTCCGATAGCCTATCAATCTGATTTAAATACAGATCCTATGTCCACGCTTTCGTTACAGGAAGCAAAGCTTGGACACCGGATCTATATCTTAATCAGATTCATATATCTGTGTACAGATTTTCCTGAAACAACAATATTTAATCTTGCATTTTAGTTCATTCTTCAAAAATAGCAACAATAAATGCACACAATAATTTGTAAATTTACAGTATTAAAAAACCAAGGTTTTACAAAATCATGTGATCACATGTGGGAAAAGACCACTTGGGCATATCATCCTTAATACTACATTTTGAGCAGGATCAGCTTTCTCATTCAGAGCACCTGAGATCACCTGTATGTTTGTGGGGTTCATGTTGCTCAGAGTCTTTAGTGATCCATGTTGTAAAGTAGACACATGTTTGTCTTGTCATCTTTATTTTTTTGTGATGGCTTTATCCATTGTTTTCAACTTGCAAGTTTGATTGTCCCTTTGCATCTGCTGCCTTTGTATATCAGTAATACATTGAAACTTGACCATGCAATGCAATATATTGCATGCATATCCTTGACTTGAAACATGCCATATTAAAAGTGAAATGACCATTAATGTTGATAGATTATTAATGTAAAACAAATTGGAAAATCAATCAGGCTGAACATTGGATACAACTGTTTTGCACTGATTATTTTACCATTTATACAATGGTCTTGGTGGATGGTTTGGATATGGATGATTGAAATTACTTGTTCATACCTAGTTTATCCAAATAGAACACTAAAGCATACATAAGATTCAATTTTTATTAAACTAAAAAACAAAAGAGGAAAACAAATTGAAAAAAAAATGAAAAAAGAAAAAATACACCAGCTACATTATCAACCTTTAACATATTTATTATTTAATATAAGAAAGTAATAAAAGTCCTTTTCAATATTCCATATAAAAATAAAGAATGTGGTATGATTGCCAATGAGACAATGTCCTTTTGTATCAGTCCTATGGATCATAATCTTTCCATTTTGAATACTGTGTTAAATATCTAAATGCACACCATTTTAATGAAAAAATTTTTAAACAGCTTTGTAACCTTGCAAAATATTTTTTTTTTTTTAGTTTCAAAACATGAATTAAATTCCTATTCAAACTTGAAACATACTTGTTCTAAAATAATTTCTGGTCATTGGCGTGAAAAAGCCAGAAAACCAGTCGACATATAGCGGGTTGAAATTGGCAAATAAAACCATTTCTCTCTTAGTCCGATAAGTTGCAGACAATTTAGTCACTGTACTTAACAAATGAATGTCAACATAAAAACTTCAAACTGAATGACTAGCATTCATACACGAAACATACAGATATGGAATGACCAGCATTCACAATTATAGGTACTTAGGGTGCAATACCGTCTTTCCCCAAACAACACAGAATGACTAGCATTCACAATTATAGGTACTTAGGGTGCAATACCGTCTTTCCCCAAACAACACAAAATGACTAGCATTCACAATTATAGGTACTTAGGGTGCAATACCGTCTTTCCCCAAACAACACAAAATGACTAGCATTCACAATTATAGGTACTTAGGGTGCAATACCGTCTTTCCCCAAACAACACCAAATGAGAAGCATTCACAATTATAGGTACTTAGGGTGCAATACCGTCTTTCCCCAAACAACACCAAATGACCAGCATTCACAATTATAGGTACTTAGGGTGCAATACCGTCTTTCCCCAAACAACACCAAATGACTGGCATTCACAATTATAGGTACTTAGGGTGCAATACCGTCTTTCCCCAAACAACACCAAATGACTAGCATTCACAATTATAGGTACTTAGGGTGCAATACCGTCTTTCCCCAAACAACACCAAATGACCAGCATTCACAATTATAGGTACTTAGGGTGCAATACCGTCTTTCCCCAAACAACACAAAATGACCAGCATTCACAATTATAGGTACTTAGGGTGCAATACCGTCTTTCCCCAAACAACACCAAATGACCAGCATTCACAATTATAGGTACTTAGGGTGCAATACCGTCTTTCCCCAAACAACACCAAATGACCAGCATTCACAATTATAGGTACTTAGGGTGCAATACCGTCTTTCCCCATACAACACCAAATGACTAGCATTCACAATTATAGGTACTTAGGGTGCAATACCGTCTTTCCCCAAACAACACCAAATGACCAGCATTCACAATTATAGGTACTGAGGGTGCAATACCGTCTTTCCCCAAACAACACAGAATGACCAGCATTCACAATTATAGGTACTTAGGGTGCAATACCGTCTTTCCCCAAACAACACAAAATGACAAGCATTCACAATTATAGGTACTTAGGGTGCAATACCGTCTTTCCCCAAACAACACCAAATGAGAAGCATTCACAATTATAGGTACTTAGGGTGCAATACCGTCTTTCCCCAAACAACACCAAATGAGAAGCATTCACAATTATAGGTACTTAGGGTGCAATACCGTCTTTCCCCAAACAACACCAAATGACTAGCATTCACAATTATAGGTACTTAGGGTGCAATACCGTCTTTCCCCAAACAACACCAAATGACTAGCATTCACAATTATAGGTACTTAGGGTGCAATACCGTCTTTCCCCAAACAACACAAAATGACTAGCATTCACAATTATAGGTACTTAGGGTGCAATACCTTCTTTCCCCATACAACACAAAATTACTAGCATTCACAATTATAGGTACTTAGGGTGCAATACCGTCTTTCCCCAAACAACACAGAATGACTAGCATTCACAATTACAGAATCAGTAGTCTTTTTGCAGGAAGAAAATCACCAACAGTGACATTTAGAATATTTTACATTTAACGTTGACTTGCACATTCTCTTTTGTCAAAATTTGTTTCAACTGATTTTCAACAAGAAAAAATTAGTCAAGAATTTATATCCTTGAAGTTAGTACCTTTTGATCTTATTTCATCAAATAGGCTCTGCTGAAAATGATAAATGTAGCTGTGTGTATATTTAAAAACAAAAATATGTTAAGGGAAAAAAAAGGTTAATTAAAGGATGAAAAATTTAAAAATAATGTAAAAATGAAACATATGTAAATAAAAATTTAAATAATTAAAAATAAATAAGCTTCTAGAAAATAAACAAAAATACTTAGACTTTGGATGTAAATAAAAAAAAATGCAATAATGATATATCTTAAAATATAGAGGGGCATTAATGTAAAAAAGTCCATGTAAAACATCATCTAATGTCAAATAGTCCTCTGTTTCATAAATCCTCAAAACTGAAATGTTCCAAGCTCTTCTTCGTTCCTATTGTTATCTGTAAATATAAGAGATACATAGTTAAGCATTATTTTCAACTTCTAATTAAGCAAGTATTAGTTACCCAGTATGAAATTATAGTCATATTTTAATTGTCTACTGAGTCCAACAATAATGACAAGTTTCACATTTCAATTTGAATGTTTCTAATTTCACTAAGACTTTTTAAAATATATTTGTAATCATCATTTTTATTAAACTGAAATAAATTTTATCATGTTTATTGCAATAGTAAATAAACAAAAGTAAATAAGCTTAAATAGAATAAACAAAAAAGAGTTAAGACTAAAGATGTAAATAAATCATCTATGTTAATGACTTTATATGATATGTCTAAGGAGAAAAGGGGCATAATCATGATACAACTACATTATATACTCAAAGACATTATTCTATGTATTTATTAATATACTTTATCTTTAATTGACCACTTTTACATATCAATTTTTTTTTATAGAAATCATGTCATATATATATTGTTATAATATATATATATATATATATATATAACAAAGTTAAACTTCATATTGCAACATTATATTATCAAATCTGTTGACTTAAAGGCAACAGTTAAGAATGTTACAATAATAATTAATAAAAACAATAACTCCAACAAACAATAATGCAGTCACTTAAAATTATTTTGCAGTTATTTAGATTTACTCCTAACATTACTTGTGGGGATGCCAAAGTAGTTACGTGTCTACACTGAGGTTGTGAGTTTAAACCCTCCTTGAGCGGGTTCGCTCAACTCCAATCTTAATTGACTAGGAGTAGGGTAGCTCCTAACAAAGGTTCTCTCTGAGCATTCTTGCTTCAAGTACCAATAAAAACTGGCTGACACAACATAGCAAATTATAAAAAGTGGCGTTAAACACAAGCAATTCATCATATATAATTTGTGGGATTTTTTTTAGTCCAACTTATTGAACTTTTCAATTTCCATCCCTAAATCTTGAATTTTGCTCTGTTAGTAAATGATATTTCAAAATATTTCTAAGCCAAGCTTAAATGCAAATAAATTTTAAGTAGACTAATATTTAGAATATTAGAATAAAGCACAATACAGAAGAATTCAAATTAACAATAACATGAATAATTTCTTTTGTGTGGACAGATTTTTATAGAAATCTGGTATAAAGCAAATTAAACTGTTAATCATATAAATATATGTACATGCACAAAGAATACTATATCAAGACCATGTGGACTCTCATTCCTATGTGGCAACTTTAGCCATAATTTGTTCCACATTATAACACTGGACAATTTAAACAATTTTAGATAGTACATGTATACAATTTGAAATTTTAATTTCCATCCCAGATCAGTCATAAATAATATAACTGAACTGCATTTGAATAGGACTTTTGAATTCTAAATAGGCTCATATTAAGGGTTTTATATAAACAATACTATTTCTATTTGTCAATAGATGTCATGTTAGGGACTAAATAGGATACACAGAATGTATTCTCTGTTTAAGCTTTAAACACATCAATTAGCATGATTAGAGAAGAACTTTTCAAGTATCAGTTCTCATTTAGTAATGTGTGTTGAAAATTTTAATTTCCATCCTAGATCAGTCATAAATATAGCTGAATTGCATTCGAATAGGACTTGAATTCTAAATGGGCTCATAGTAATGGTTTTATATAAACAATACTATTTCTATTTGTCAGCAGATGTCATGTTAGGGACTAAATAGGATACACAGAATGTATTCTCTGTTTAAGCTTTAAACACATCAATTAGAAAACAACTTTTCAAGTATTAGTTCTCATAAATTAGTAATTGATGTGTGTGTAAATTTAATTACCCGTTTCATTAGCATTATATACAAATAATCATTTCATAATTAAAAAGAAGTTCATTAAACATAATATTCCATCTATGTAAGCAATATTTACATATAGATATAATAACATATATAATAACACTGTATAAGATATTTACATAGATTGAGTGCAACTGACCTGAAAGGACTTTCACATACATAAAGTAAATACATCCATTAAAAGAAAATATTCTAGATTCAAAATAATAATACAAACAACTGTATTATAATGTATTCAATAATACATTAGAGACAATTAAAAACTGCCTTCAATATAACAAGAAACCTAAGCAGATACTAATCAACTATTATTTTGTCCATATAAAAGCAATACTGGGATTTATCAAATAGAATAAATTCATTGAATATATAGTATCCTGGCTGTAACATCATGAACAGTCACATATCCACCCCTGTGGACAACGTATCATGATGACATAAAGGAATTCAAATTAATTTGATAACAAAAACAAACTTAAAATTGAGTGACATTAAAAAAAAAGATGACCAGTATCAGTAAATCATGTTGAAGTCACAACTTTATGTAAATTTAACTTAATATTATATAAATATATATAAAGAATAGTCACCAAAGAGACTGTATACATGTATCTTTAAGAGCAGTGTTGTAATTATATTTCATTTTTTAAATTAACTGTGCTTGTGACGGCCATAAATTTGTATTTGGACTATTTCAAATCAAAAGATCATTATTTCATGGAAATATGAATAAAATTTCCTGGTTGTAACATCATGAAAAACCATATATCCACAATGATGGACAACTTATCATGATGACATATAGGAAAACAATTTTGAAAAGAATATAATAATATAGGTCTTGATATTTCATAATTTAATACCTAATATTTGTTGCAAATTGAATGCCAAAACTCCATAAATGTTCATATGCCGTCAGTTTGATCCTATTTGTATTTGGACTATTTCATATCAAAAGATCATTATTTCATGGAAATATGAATAAAATTTCCTGGTTGTAACATCATGAAAAACCATATATCCACAATGATGGACAACTTATCATGATGACATATAGGAAAACAATTTTGAAAAGAATATAATAATATAGGTCTTGATATTTCATAATTTAATACCTAATATTTGTTGCAAATTGAATGCCAAAACTCCATAAATGTTCATATGCCGTCAGTTTGATCCTATTTGTATTTGGACTATTTCATATCAAAAGATCATTATTTCATGGAAATATGAATAAAATTTCCTGGTTGTAACATCATGAAAAACCATATATCCACAATGATGGACAACTTATCATGATGACATATAGGAAAACAATTTTGAAAAGAATATAATAATATAGGTCTTGATATTTCATAATTTAATACCTAATATTTGTTGCAAATTGAATGCCAAAACTCCATAAAAGTTCATATGCCGTCAGTTTGATCCTATTATAAAGCACTATGTATTGGTGCCAATAAATATGATACAGCATTGAATTTTAAATTGTGACCAATATCTGGTTCATTAAGATATATATATATATATGACCTGAAAGCTGAAAATACGAAAATATGTACAGAAACTAAAGATAGTACAGAGCCTACTGCATAGTCTGGTGAAACATTCAATATCTCAAATTAGGGAAAACAATAAATCTAATGGAAATTTTGTGCCTCTACCAAGTCGAGGCTTCATTTTATTTTTCGAAGGATTCATATATTCATAAACTATGTTGTCTGTTATGGTTCCAATATTTTTTGTAGTAGCTGTTATTCCTTGGATGTATAATTTGACTATAATTTACACAAAATAAACAAAATGAAGAACAGCAATAAAAGCATTATTTCTTTTTTTCACTGAGCATATACTGATTTTGTGTCATATACATGATATATGGATGCCCATATCTTTTTCTTTTACAATATATTCTATGTAACAAATATGTGACATAATTACAAGTCTTCTGTTGCAAGATAAAACATATCAAGGTCTGAAAATAGATGTGCTTGGACAGGGTCATCACCATTATCATCATCATCATCATCATCATCATCTATCTCAACATCACTAATTTCATCTAATGAAATATCAGCAAGAGAAATATCTAATAAGGTGTCGGACTTATCTGGCAGATTTACACAATTAGTGCATTTACACCCAGGACCACAGAAACCATCCTTAGAACTGGACTTAGATTTTCTGCATTTGCAGCGATTAGAGGTACAACCCGTCTTACATGAACATCCTTTTGTGTACCACTGAACTGTCTGCTCTACTTTCTGAAAATTTCCTTCAGTGTCCCATATACATTCAAGTAAATTATTACTTACCTTCCATCCAAAATCTGAAAGAGTGGAGAGCTGAAGGAAATTTTCAGAAGCTTGTGCCCAAAACTGAAAAACCCAGCTTGATCTCAGCCAATGAAATTTCAATGCCTCAGAATTTGGCATGATTTCCTGTTCTGAAAGGACTCTCTCCCACATTTTTTCCCTAATTTGAGATATTAACAATACATGTTTATCATGAATATTTTGACAATGAAGACTGTCATATAAGGATTTCACAGAAGTCAGTGGCAAAAATGCAGTGGAATATTTAGAAAAATACACTGCTGATATCAATCTATAAAAAGCAAACAGTGCACTTTCTGAATCAAAATCTAACAAATATGCAGTTTCTGTACCAGTTATAAATGAAGCATGCTTCCTAAATACATCAAAAAATGTTTTCTTTCCAAAACCTTTAAAGTAGGAGACGTAGTCACAACCACTGTAAATATATAGCAATTGTATACATGACTCAATATCTTGAATACCCTGAAAACAAATATCATTCTGTAAGGCTACAGAAAATTCATTCATGCTAATAAAAAGTTTTTCATATGGGGAATCTTTTAACTGTACATAA